GGCAGGTGGCTAGCTATTTTGTGGGAAGAGACTATACTAGATAAAACCTGGAGAAATGAACATAATCCTCTTGATTTTAGACTTTGTCTAGTATTAAATTTATCCCCTCCTGTTGCTGCATTGCCTCTTCTGTTTGCTTCATTGCTGATTTTTGTCTGCTCACAATCCTAACCTTTTGTTTTGTATTATTTTTATTTTGACATAAAATTCCTCACCTTTATTGGCTGAATTTCCTTTGTGTGGCTACACACCTCTGACGCCCCCCATAAAGTTCCAGTTGGTCTGTGACAGTATAAAGTTAACACTGTATACACAGTTCTTCCTGTGAGGGTTTTAGGGTCCTGTTTTGGAGGCGAAAATAAATTGAAACTGCCCCATAATTAACTTGCTGTCAAAGTGACCAGATAGAGCTTTGCTGAAATCGGATGTTTTGGACTGAAAGTTGCAGATAGACCACAGCACAAAGTGCCAACTTTTTAAGGGCAAATGAAGGGTAAAAAAAAAAAAAAAGAAAGTAAGCCTCAATGTTCTAAGAGTTGATTTTATTAAAAGTGAGAACCAATGCAGCTCCAGTAAGCATTATAACCACCTTCTGTAGTAGCCTGTACATAATTTCAGTACCATTGGTATCACAGTCTGATTATGTGTCCATCTTGTCTTTTCTTTGCGTGTTGTTAAGTGTAAGCCAGATCCTTCCCATCATTCCCTGCTGCATCTTTCTCTCCAAACTGGTAATCTGTTTTCTTTTCTACATTGTTAATGTGCTTCCAAAGGGTCTTGTCTATGTCTGCCTACATAAGTTTGCCCATTTAGGATCTGCAACCTAATTTTTTTGGGGGGAAAAATAATAGACCCACAGATCCCAGTAAGCATGTTGTGGATGGTGTCTAATTAGCGTGCTTCCTTTGAAGCTGGAGCGCATCTGCCTGAGAGGCAAGGAACCAACAGTCGGCATAAAAATCAGCCAGATATTGTAAAACGTATATACATGTAAAAGTCTGAAACAAGACCAAAGTCCTGTCATAGACGAACAGCCAGAACTTACTGCTGAAGTTAACAGCTGGTGAACACTCAGAAGAAGATATACCATTTCATTAGCACATGGTGCAGAGCTATCCAGCCTATCTGCCTGTTAATTTACCAGCATGTGACACATTTCTCAGCTTTGTATGTTAAAATCCATAGAAAAAGATCTTTTATATTACTTTATATATCTCAACTTTTGTTGACAATTTCCACAGAACACTTTTTTCTTGTTTAGACTGACCAGTTATCCTGTTTATCCAGCCTCCTATGTCTAAAAGAAAGACCACCCTATTTGCACTTTGTTTGCTGACTCCTACAGCCTCTGCTTTTTTCAATACCAAGAATCTATTCATTAATTTGTTATTTCCTATTTACATGATAGTTATTGATACTACTGTTATACTTTTCTGACCTCCTTTGTGTACCATTCAGTTGTATTTTTTAATTAATTCTCCTGCTCTGTAGCAATTTTTTAACACCTTTAAACCATGTGTTTGTCTGCTCCTATTTATATGATCTAATTTTCTTACTTCCTTGTGTTCCATCCAGCTGTAACATTAATTCTTCTGTTTGTCATTTCTGTTTACATGATATACTTTTCGTACTTCCTTGTGTGCCATTTTACTGCCTTTGTTATAATTTCTTCATGTTACAATAGCTGTACCAAATATTAACACTGTAGATCATCTCTGGAAATATAATTATAACATATAATATGTAAAACAGTGTTGTGTGTTATTACTAACTGAAACAGCATGTTGTAATATTTATTTATATGAATTGAATCAGCATGAAACAATTTTTTGTTTCATTTTCTATCGAGTCACTGAAAAAAAAACTGTTTCATAAGCTCACTTTGGGGAGCCAGTTTTTTCTTATTTACCCTTGTTCTTTCGTGTGTGTGAGTCCTACTGCTTATGCTGTAAAGTGTTGCAGAGAGGAGTTTGATGCAGTTATTTAGTAAAACTTCATTAACACAAATTAAAGAAACTGAATAATTAAGAGTTTTTGTAAAAAAAAATGTGTGCTCACAGAGAACTAATAAAGTAATGAGACCAGGTCTTGTTCATGTTAACCAAATATTTATATAATGCGAGTTTGTGTTAACAAGGTTCTACTGTAGTTAATAATAGTATGAAGAACATTGCTTATAATTGAACATTCCACATTCATTTGTAAATTCTGAGCTGTTTTTTTAATCCATTTCAAGCAATGCAAAGTATACTGAGAGGTAACTGCAATAGCTTGATATAATCTATTATTTTGCTAACTGGAACAGCACAGCATAGTATACAGTCTAGCTGGGTCAGACATAAACACATGTTATTCTTGAAGTTTAATGTTTTATTAACAAAACAAACAAAAAAAAGCTGTTTTTCAGTGACATGAAGAAATATCACCCCGGCAGTTTTTAAATAGTTTACACTTTGTATCTAGGCTTGTTTCCAAATATTTGTGACATTGTTTTCAAAGTAAATGTTAAAATAATAACATACAAATACACACTCGCAATGCTCACGGAAAAGAATGAATGAATGAGCCAAACCTGGCATCTCTGCACTCATGATTTTCCACATGTGCTATCCAACAAGTCATTCCATGATGTCTGTTGTCTTTTTATTTTGTTTGTCATTCCACTGAGTATCATCCTTACTAAAAAAAGCCTTACTGTGTATGGATGTTCTATGTATTCTACCACTCTGTGTACAGTTTTTAGGCAAAAATATACTGATTGGATTTTGTGTTAATTTATCTTGTACTTTTTTAATCCCAGGGTCAGATGTTGGTGACACCAGCCATGTATGCCCAGATGACTCACCAGCTCATGGCTCTGGCAGGGGGACGAGTCTGTGTGGTTCTAGAGGTAAGAGTACTATTCTTTCTGGCTGGATTATGTTTCTATTCCTCAACCTGTAAAAACAACACACACAGCATGTTGAGAAAGGTGGAGACAGGCATGCTCCCTGCAGAGTGGCAAGCATCACTTCAGAGGTTCTAGGTAGTTAGCATCTTTTGGATATTTTCTCTAGGATATGCCGGTGTGTTGAGAAATGAGCAGTCAGTAGACTGGCCGGTTCTGCATCACTTGATGGTGAATTAATGTATGACAAGCTAGATGTTGTGAGAGCCCTTTGGGAGTGAGTGAGCAATGCAGAGGCACAGATAGATCATTATGGTCTGAGGAGAATGGCGCTGTGAGAAGATACCAGGGGATCTGTCGGACTCTCAACAGTCAGGGAAAAGGTTATTGGTACCATCATAATCAGAACTCTTCGCTTGCTGCTGAGGATGGGGTCAGAGCACTTATGGGAGTATCCTGAGTTCTTTGATGTCGATTCTTAATTCAGCATTTAACATTTAGCCCTGTAAAAACAGTAAAAGCTACAGAAACTTGTAAAATAGGAATCCATTCCATCACATTCTTTGTCTTCCTGTTCACCAGCTGTAAACTCTGATAGAACGTTCTGCTTGTTTATCCATTTCTGGTGGACTTTAGTCTTATTCCAGAACTGGAGTTTTACTTGCACAACCCTTTCACAGATCTGGCTTATTTGTATGCAGATGGTTGATTCCTCATCTCTCAGGCAGAGGCATGGTTTATTAAAATACATCTCTAGATGGTTACCTTTTACAGCATGCTTGTTAAGGGGGCAGTGTCCCCCCCCCCCCCAACTTGGGGCCCAGAACCCACACAGGGATCTGGAACATCAACTGGCCTAGTAGTGTTTGCTCACAGGGCCCATGTATCAGCTACAGATGGAAGTTGCTCTGCGGAAGTCAGTGGCCAGACGTGTCTACTATGTGGCTCAACATTAATTACTAGAATTCTAAGATGAACTTGATTAGAGAGGCCAAAAGTGCTGCTCTGGTTATCTGCCCTTGATATTAAAAGGATTACGCAGGATAGAACAAAATGAAGGACTAGACTGTGAGCCTGATGTGACACTACAGGGTCTTGCAGAAGGAATTTGTTTCTCATTTGAAAACAACATTGAGATCCAATAGCACACTAGCAAACATATAAAAGTAACAATTTTGAGAACATACATCTTTCCAGTCACATTGTATTGATGTGAATCATGAGCATCATGTAAGACATAAATTAAAGCTTTTGTACATAAAGGTTATGGAAAATACATTAATTAAAATAAAAAAAAAATAAAAAACCATATTGATTTAAAAAAACAAACCAGAACAATAAAATATATACAAATATTAATATAAGGCAGTATTACCAATCTTTGCTTGACTGTAAGTCCCAGTAACCCACAGGTAAATATGTTAACAGTCGTTACTGCTTTTGATGCCATTTTTGGGGACAGTGTAGGATAAGGATAGTTTTGAATTTGCAAAATATGCTCAGGAGGGTGGAGGCAGATTTTCTTCAAATGCAATGAGTTGCATCTGTCCAGAGGTTCTCAGTGAGGCTTATGGGACTTCATTATAGGGAAAACATAAATAGACCCATGCCGTAAGAGTCGACTAATTAGGGGCTTTCGTCGAAGTACATCTGCCCGGGCGGCAAGGAAAAACCATCTGCACACAGTTGAGTGTAAAACACGTGAACGCAATGCTCAAGTCCTGGCTCAAAACCAAAGTCCTAAACCGGTACAGTCCAGAATTATGCAGACAAAAGGCCATGCTCTTTACCTTGCATTTACCACAGTGAAACCATTTTTGAATGCAGTCAGTTTTATGTTTCAGTTCGAAATATTCATTTATTTGCTTCATTTTAATAAATTGTTACTGTAGTATGCACCTGGCCAGATACAGCGAAATATGCCTAGCAATAAATTGTGCAATCTGTTGTTTAACTAATATTGATCCCCATGTTTGGGACGAGATACAGCGAAATATGCCTAGCAATAAATCGTGCAATCTCTTGTTTAACTGATATTGTTCCCCATGTTTGCATTGTATTAAAGATTTCAAGTCCTTTTATGGAATCCTCGTTTGATTTATTGTACATTCAGGGTGGTTACTGCCTCAAGTCCTTGGCAGAGGGTTGTGCCTTAACTTTGAGAAGTTTACTACGTGACCCATGTCCAAGATTGCCGCCGCTTACTGAGCCATCAGACAGGTTTGTGATGTTATTTAAGGCAAACAATCATAAAACATTACTGATAACTTGTGCACATTATTTTTAAAATGTGATTTCAAAGTCTGCTCTGAATTCTGAAACCTGAAGTATATCTGAAAGAGGTGAAGCTTTTTATAAACTTTTGAAAACACTCTTGTGTGATGAATCTTTGGACCCATCAGATGCAAATAGTGCAGAATGTTGAGTGAAAAGCAACAATAGAATGCACCACTAATTTCTGGCATCATGAGTGCATTGTTTGGGGCATATAGAGAGAATAAAAGCAGGCAGGCAAGAAGGCCAATGTGCCTATCGAGAAAAATGTGATACCTACTCTTCCCAATGCTTGAGTGTTAGTAATCTTTTTTGCCACCTAATGGCAAATATTATTCGTAGACGTCACATGTGAAACCTATTAGTTGTTTTTTCTGGTGCAGACAAATTGCCAAGATACTTTTTCGTTGGGGGAAAAAACTTTTTTTTTGTCTATCAGTCTGTGAACTAGGGATTGTAGATGTTTCACAATTTTAACCTAAATGAGATTTGTCAGTTGCAGGCAGTTTGATAATTTTGATAACAGTATGAGTGTTGTCGCTACCACATTGTTTATCCCTAGACACTAAGTGGAAGCTGCCAAAGAATTACATGATCTGAACATCGAGGAGAATTGTCTCATAAATAGTATCCTGTTGGGAAAGCTGAGATATTTTCCCCATGTTAAAATATCATGGTGGCATAGAGAGAACCATGATGGAGAGTACATTTTCCAGAAAACGAGACAGAGGCAGACCTCCACAACCGTGGATACAAGACATTGAAGATGCATAGGCTGTGAAAGTGAAAAAGAGCTGGGGAATTGGCTATAGAAAGAGAGACTTTAAGATGTGTCATGGCAAGAGCCACATTTTGATTGGTAATCATGTACATCATCAGAAAGCAGGGGCAAATTATTGAATGGAAAATTGACAGTTAAAACTGTACAACAGACTGAAATGTCGTCGATTCGCAACATCCTGAAGAGGACATTTGGGCTTCCTTTGCTGATGAATAATCTGTAGCAATGCACCTGATGAGATACATTGGTGTATAATCATCATCACCATGTGCCATGCCGATAAGGTAGGCACTTTGCTGGGGAAAAAATCACCATGTTCAACCAGTATCACTGAAGGGGGAGCTTTTCGTTATAATTATGACTTGGTTATGTGCCCTATAAAATGGCTTAACATTGTACACCATCATAAGCCCTGAAAAGGACACCTGCAGGGTTCATGCGATCAAAGAAGAAAGACCCAGATCTTGTCCCGACCGGCGACAAAGTCATCTACCGGCAGGCCAATAGGCAACCCGGTTGCCGATGGCCATGCTGATAAGTGAAGACTACCATATTTCATATGAACACCAGAATCACAGATCAGGTCAATGTTCCCGTCTTGCCCACCCTCCCCCCAAATAGTCTATGCCAAGTAGGTATGCTGTTCTGATCCCGTAACTTCTGCAGCCTGCTTTGTTCCAAACGTACTTGTGTTACCTTTCCTGTTGTGTAAACAAGGTAGGTTGAGAAAGGTATCTCTACAATATTGCCCAGGCTTTGTCCTGTGGAAAGGATAAACTCCATCCCTGGCTGTAATTGGTCTGGGGTCGGGTCTGCAATTGCTATGAGCTTTAAGTCCCTTGTCTCCTCCTAGCTCAATATAATACTATCATCTGGAAAGACAAAAAGGTGCCAATCTGATCAGTGTAGTTATCTGTCTGTTTTCCTTCCCCTTGCTCGTATTTTATCAGTCTTGTCAGTTGTAACAAGCCCATTCCTTCTGAAAATAATCCAGTCAATGAATTGTTTTAATACATCACGGAAAAACCTTCTTTTGAATCTTATTACTTTCTTCTTGTGCAGTATGATGACCACAATCCTGAACGCCATCAAGATTCTGAGAAACTATTGGAAATGTTTCAAGCATTTTGAAACATTGGAGCATTCAGAAGTTTGCACATTTACTGATGTCAACACCATGCCTCCAGCGTAAGTATGGAAGACTGGCAACTTCTGCCATGTGTCATTGGTAATCATGCTATGTTCTGTAGCTTTCTGTTTAGAGTTGAAAAGAGAAAATTGTTGCATTTACTGCCAGTATTTACCACTTTTGTGGTGTAGGCAGGTGATGTTTCAGCCTGAGGATTTAGGACTGCTAGAGCAGTCGCCATGAACTGTACAGTTTAGGATTTGTGTCTGTGTGTGCCCCTGACAGGTAGAAATCATCCATAACCTTACAGATAGGAATAAACTCACAGGGAGCAAGTACAGCGGGGATCTACCAGTCATCAGTAGAAATTATCCTCGTCGACACACGTTTCGGCCCACGATTCCTAGACGTATTCGGAGGTGGGCCCTCCTGAGTTCATGACGCTCAGGGCTGGTTCCCCGCTGCACGGAATTACCGGATGGTGTTTTACTTTCGGCCAGAGACAAGACGACTTGGTGGTTTCGAAGGAGGTACTGTGAGATAAGAAGCCGCCGCGGCAGCTTAATTAAAGCAGTCAGCTTGCCTGGACGACTGAGCGACAAGCTTACTTTTGGTTTACCGGACACATGTTGAACTTTTATTAGCAGTTGGCAGAAGAACACTGGCAGACAATTCGGACACGATGGACTTTCAGAGGGATGAGAAACTCTTTTCCACTAGATACCCGGACCAGCTCACCGAGGCCCGTTCCCTACGTTGTTGCGCTGCGTCCAAAGCCAGCTAGAGGCCCTTTCGGCCACCTCTCCCAGTTTTTTTAGTGTTCGTTTCCGTTCATTACCGCGTAATCCTAGTTCTTTCACCACATTGTAGAGCGAAGTGGAAACGAGGCCTCTCGCTCCCACTTCGACGGCAAATACCCGTACTGTGTAAGCCTCGTTTCTCCTCAAACCGGCTGCTAAATCACTGTACTTCTCGAGCTTGTACAAATGATTCTCCTCCATACGCGACTCAAACGGGACAGTCAACTCAATCAGGATGAGTTGCCGTTTTTGCGCAGAATGGAGAACGATGTCCGGTCGCAGGCCGGTTTTACGGATCAACTCGGGGTACCGTTCATGGCCTGGCAGATCAACCGCCAGTAACCAGTCCCTCGCAGAGTCTAGCACAGATGGAGCGAATGCGTCTCGGTTGACCTTACCTTTTGGAACCTGCCCAGCCTTGAGGAAGATTTAAACATGGGTCTACCTCATAGATATTCAGCCAGCTACTCAACAAAAAACAAAAGTTACAAAGAAAGAAATGAAAAGAAAATAAGTTAACTGATGATTTACTGAGACATGTAATAATTTACTAAAAAAAAACCTCCATACATCCAGCAATTTCTTCTTAATCCTTAATATGATACTTTTGAGTTATGATACTTGCCTGCCACAGCCTTTTCTGGCTAGTATTCATTTCCTTTGTTCACACATGTGTCAGAGCTTTAACTGACCAGACAGACATGCAGTTTTTTCCTTGTAGAAACTTCAATTAAGTGATTTTGTTTATTCTCATTCATAGTTGTGACATTGTCAATTCATGTAATGTGCCGATGAAGGCTTTCTAGCCACAGTGGTCACTTGTGATTATGATAATATAAAGCTGACTAGTTCTATTTTTTTTTGTTTGGTTTGATATCTTTTTATGCAGTAAATGACAGATGTTTGATATTCAAAACAATGTTTTCCCATTGTAAATTTAAATAATGCAGACACAAACAATACATTGCATAATGAATCCTTCTCTTGCTGAAATGCATAAACTCAAATGCTAAAAGTGACAGTGGCTTATCAGTAAAACTCTGCTCTCCTGTATTATATAAACATAAAGATCACCTGATCAATTTGAAGTTACCATGGTAATAATTTCTGGCCGATAGATGAACAGCAAATATGGTTTATGCATTTCAGCAAGAAAAGGATTCATTTTATGCTTGATTATGTGTTGATTTAACTCTGAAGTAATGCACGTGACGAGATACAGCAAAATATGTCAGGCAGTAAATTGTGCAATCTATTGTTTATGTTTGCTTAATATAAATTTACAATCAGAAAACATTGTTTTGAAAATATATTATTATTAAGTTGTGATAATTTTTTGAACATTTACACATTCAGTCAGTAATAAATAAAAAATAAATTTCGGGCCCAATTTTTTTAACAGGGGGGGGGGGGGGGGGGGGGGGGGGTTGTAGAAGTTTAGATTAACCGCCCTTTGACAAGCATGTTGTATATAATAGATTACGGTTTTGCTTAAGTTAAGTGCGATAGGCCAAAAGCTATATCATAGCCTTGCTGCAAATAAAACCCAACATGCTAACAATCCTTTTAAGGCCAAAGGAATAAGAAGGATAACTAAAATTCCTTCTCACATTCAGAAAATGGATGCTTCCTTGATGTAGCGGCTCCATGCTCACCTGCAGATCTGTTGGGCGTGGGTTCAAATCCAAATGGAGCCAGGCTTACAAAAATGACCTTGGCTATCAGGTCGACTAAGCTTTAAATGGGTGCCAGGTAAAGTCTTGGGAAGTTCAGGCGGTTGGTTAGATATTGACCACATCACCCACTAAGTGCTGATTGGTCTATAAACTATATGTCCAGCACTATATGCCTGAAGGCGGAGTAAAGGGTCCATTACTTTACTTTACATGCAGTAAAGGGAACATTCATTAGAACACGTTGCTCTCAAAAGGCTGCTTTATTTATCATTTTTAAACGTGTGTTTTCTACAGCCCTGATGTGACTTTCAGCACTCCAGAGAACAGACCAGACAAGTTTGAGATCATAAATTGCTATCCCGTCCAGGAAGAGAAGGTCCGCACACATTTTGCAAATCTGATCCAGAAGCTGATAGCAGAAGCTGACCTGTCGGTAGCTGAGCACAGGTGAGGGCCTGTAAACGATGAGTTTATATGCTTGTTAATAGCTATTCTGTCATTTGCGCTTGTTAATATTTATTCCTAAGTTGTTTATTCTTAAATGTATGCTGTTAGTATTTATTCTTGTTATTTATTCTTATTTTTAAGCCTTTTATAATTTTTGATATTTATTGTCATGTCAATTATTCTTATATTTAAGCTTGTTAACAATTTCTTTTTTGTTATTTGTATTTACATTTATGCTTCTTAATATTTATTCTTATGTTACTAATTCTTAAATGTATGCTTGCTTGAGCATCAATTTATTCTGACATTTATGCTTGTTACTATTTATTCTTCTGTTGTTTGTTCCAAAATTTGTACCTTTTAATATGTATTTTTATATAGTTTGTTCTTAAATTTATGCTTGTCAGTATTTATTCTGTAATTTGTTCTTGTTAATATTTATTCTTCTGTTATTTATTCTTAAAAGATCTGCTAATAATTATGTTGATTCGGTTGAGAATTAATAGTTATTCAATCCAGATTTGTTTTTTTTTAGAAGCATGCTCCATGATAAAAGTTATACGTGTGGTTCATTTAAAGCTTTTTACAAAATGAATTTGTTTCATTTGTGCAGGTGTTGCTATGTATTTGATGCCGAGATGAGATCGCACAAGAACCTGCATGATAAGTAAGTAATAGATAAAGCATGTGAGTGAACAAGTGTCTCAATATTTAAACAGTTCTCATGTGCATTCCAGAGCCTTACTTTAGGAGGAAAAAGAATATCTTGGTATGCCTGTGTGTCACCAGGAAAGCAAAGAATATAACAATGGTAACCTACCATATCATAAAAGGCAGATAAGGATTGTTGCCATGGGTGTGACTAATTCCTCCCATAGAAAACTTGGGCTACCAAATCCAACCAGAATTCACATTGGCATAGCAGCTAGTTGTTTGCCTATCGGCCTGAAGGTGTTAGGTTTCAATTGCCTCAAGTCGGATACATTTTTAGTTTATTTTAAAATGACTAGGATCTCAGATAGACCCATCCTAAGATGAGAACCAGGTGAAGTCCTAGGAAGTAAATGTTGCTGGCATGTTGAATTCATCGCCCATCGAGTTCCTTTTGGTCAATAGTAATATGAGCATAGCATAAATGTCTGATGCTCTGCGAAAAATGTCCCTTACCTATAAACTCGACCAATCATAAGCAAGTCAACAAAAGGTTTGGCTTGCTTTATTGGAAAATAAAAGTTATCAAACCAAGGAAGACAGCACCCTTGAGAGCTTCTTTGTATCTGCTTCTTGGTTCTGCCTTTAACTCTACAGTCACAGCCACTTCATTTACATCCACAAAGCTATGGCAAATTGGATTCCATTCCTATAAGTTATAAGGTTTCCAGACTAATGAAAGGTGGTATCCTGCACATATTCAGTGCACAAATGGTAAGTAATGCACAGACGGTATGTAGGTAAAGGACCCTTTTCATTTGTTACCAGATCCGTATTTTTTATAAACCAATTAGCATTTTGTTCATGAAGTGGTCACCATCATGCCATCCACCTTTACTTTTCAAGATATTTCCTGGTGCCCATTTAAGGCTGGATAACCTTAGGTCAATTATCAGTATCCACTCTGTGTGGATTAGAATCCATATAATTGGGGCCAGCAAGCAAGTGTGCATCTAACCACTACATTACTGCGACAAGAAAGGATTCTTGTGATTTTTATTAAAGCTTCATTTCTAATTCTTTCTCCTCTAGTTGAGCAGACACCTCAAACATTTTATCTTACAACTGATGAATTTTCCATTGTGAAATTAATAGCAACATTGTTGGGTGCTAGCAGTGAAATGTTTTGATGATTCTTTTCCTGCATATAAACATGTTTCATGATGCTTTTCCCTGGCAGATCCCATCCTGAGAGACCAGAACGCATAAGTAAAATATATGCCACAATGGCTGAATGGAAGTTGCTTCAGAAGTGCTTAACTGTTGCTGTAAGTTTTGTATTGTTATCTGAGACAGTTGTTAATTTGTGATTTTATTCTGTTGGTGAGTTGCTTTGGTTTTGTGGCTGGATGCTCACCTTGGGTCTGAAGGTTTCAAATCTGCATCGAGCCACTACTGGTCATGTTTTCAGGTCTCTTTGTCATGTGAATGACTAGTGTAGTTGATATCACATTTGCCTTACAGTCCAAAGGTTCAACCCCTACACGACTATTTTTTTTCCTTGTTAAAAAAAAAATGCAGCCCACTTTCAGCAACGGATCACCCAAGTATTAATTACTTAAACAAACATAAGAGTAACAAAACAGGTATACAAGTAATTATGATTAGCAATATGTTTGTGTGTGTTAAACTATGTGCAATTGGAGAAATTGCCAATTCTGGTACTGTGGGGCCAATCATTCTGGATATATACTGGTGGGTTCATGCACGAATTGACAATCACAACAATGTTACACGTTAGCAACGTTGAACATGTCGAAGCCACATAAACTCACAAAGTAGGAGTGTAATAAATGTCTGTGGGTTCCAGTCTGGCGCTTGTTTCTCTCCTTTGCCGACATCCACATACATTCGATGCATTGCATATGCGCACCTGTGGTGGGATTGACAAAATTGATGGAGTAAATGACGGTGAGATGCGTCAATTCAAGAATATTCTCAAGTCCATTGTACGCATGCCACTTGTCGAAGACTACTATTGTGTGCCGGGTCTGATATTTGTATTAATGATTGGCAGAAGTGTCTCTGCTTTTCTCTCTGGAACGCAGAACATAAAGCATTCGCCCGTCTCGCGTCAGACTCCACCGAACACCCACTATTGTGGAAACACACGTCCCACATGATTTTTCCGCCTTTGCAAACAGACTTTTATCAATTTTGACAGTTGTGTTCTCTCCGATGATCACTGCAGGGTTCACTAATAATGTATTAGCACAAACCTCCCGTAAGTAGTTGCTCCATTCCACAGTTGTAGTGGGCAACATGCCAAGCCCTGATGAAGACTAGAACAAGACGACAAGTAAGAGGTGCGAAGCGCGCCCCTTGGCAACACCCGCCAAAGCCTTGGCAACATGCTCCAAAAAGAAGGTAGCTGGAAACGCACTGCAGGAAATTATTTGAGTGTCATTTGATGTCACTGGGGTTACCAAAATGGGATGTACCAAAATTAGCTCTTTGGCGCTTTAGAAAATCAATCATGTTACTTATTTATCATCATCATCATCATCATGTGCCATGCATTAAGTGTCAGCTGTCACATTTTGCCATCTCACCCAATCATCAGAATCACAGATCAGGTCAACGTTCATGTCTCACACTACCCAAGTGGCCAAGCCATCCTATTTATCTCTTTGCTTCCTCTTGCTGTCTTTCCATCAATCTTGCCACTTGTTGCCAAGTTTTTTAGTTTAATTATATTGTTAGTTTTGTAAATATTGTCATTTACTCGTGGAATATGATTTGATTAATTTACTACTAATGTCTTTACTGTGTGCTTGCAATTAATTGTTTTTTGCTTTAATTTTATCTTTCAGTCAAGATTAGCCAGAAAGTCTGAGCTATTATGGATTCATGGGTAAGTGGGCTACTTCTAGGTTCAATTCTGTGAAAAGACCCCCCCCACCCCCACACCCCGCATGTCATATAAGGTGGCTAATGAGGGGAGTTTTATTTGTTGTGTGAGTGCATCTGCCTGAGAGGCAAGGAACCAGCAGTCTGCTTATAAATAAATCAGATCTGTAAAAGGATTTGAACGCAAAACTAATATTCTCTAAGACAAAGTCCAGAAGTGGACGAATAACTAGAACTTCCCACCGAAGTTGACAGCCGGTGAACTTTAAATTGAAGAAGAAGAAATTCAGAAACAGATTCATCTCTTCACTATGCTGTTTGACAGTTAAAATTAATTCTTCTAAGCCCTGTAGAAAAATATTGTGCTATCTGCCTATCTGAGTCCTGGGATAGTGACGCGTGCGGTCAGGAATAGGCCGCATGCTGACCAAGGTATCCAATGGATATGTTTATAGAATGTCAGTCCGCCACACCTACTCAAAGGATTTCCTCTATTCCAAACCATGGCCGACCACTTTCCTTGATATGGTACATGCTGATGGTGATTATAGATGGAGTAAATGGGGTCAACCCAAACAAGAGCACTACTATAAACCAGGCGCACGTAACAAGCTGACATATCCTATAAAAACCACTAACATTGTGTACGAGTGCTGTAACAAACAAGTCAACACCAAGTCAAGTATAATCTTGTAGTGCGATTAGTCTCATTATTATGGATGAACACATTGCGACGAAGATGAATTGGTTTTTTCTGAAATACTGTCCCTCTACTACTCCCAAATACACATTGGCATACATCCAACTAGCCTCGACTTGGCGGAAGTCTACGACATCCAAAACCTCTTCGGCATGTGGACCCACTCCTGGGGTCACCATTACTAGTAGCCTGTATCAGCAAGTATTGCTGAACAAGCTGGGCTGACCTGCAGGGAAGCAGATAAATAGTACTGCTATCAAAAGACCTACAAGGTTATATACAGCTATCGATACTGACCACACTGAGTTATAATCAGCCAAATAACCCAGTGGTCAGATAAAGCGTCAGGATCTCACCGTTTCATCTCCAGTAACTACACTCATTTCAAGCATTTAGGACCTATTTCCAGTGAACAGTCCAGACTCTCTAACAGAATAAAATAATACACATAATTAAAAAAAAAAAAAAAAGTCATGCACGTCCACACACGTCCACTCTGTTTCACTGACCAAGAGGCACTGGCTTGGACACAGGTTCACCTTCAACAGCTGGTCACACTTTGAGTCTCACAAAACCTGTAGAGCCACTGTGACCCGTTACTCTTTAGAACCTTCACAACCTTAAAGTAGCCTGGACCTTTTGCACTCGTATCTGTCATCTTCATCATCTAGAACCTTCACGACTGACGAAGGTGATCACACCTCTTACCTCTGGTACACTTGAATAGTAAAGTGAGTTCAGCACATAAAAAATAGATTAACCTCCTTTTGAAAGCAGATTGAAGCTGTTACTGGCCTCATCCCTAATTGCTTTCATAAATTTTGAATAGGAATAGAATGCAGCCCTGTGCACCTCTGTGTACATCAAACCAGTCCATTGTTTCACCAGTCTGTTGCTGCTTGTTGTTCATGGTAAAAAGATTCCATTGTTTGTTATGTGCCACAGCTTTTGATGTTGGACACAGAAACCTAACTGTAGTCTATGAAACAAGCATAGAGATCTGTCTTATACTCTCTATACACCAGACCTCAAATTGTGTTTGAATGATTCCAGAGAGGACTATCTGAATGATTTGTTGAGGAGCCAGACCAAAGCTGATGATGAGCTCAAGAGCTTCCCAGTTGAGCACAGATATACCTCCATTTACCTGCATCAGGTAAGAATCTGGTCAAATGTTGAATGTTGAACTAAGAATCCGCATCACGGCACTCAGTACACTCCCGTATTTGCTCCATCTCCATCCTCAGCAGCAAGCAAAGAGTTCCAGGAAATCTTCTGGAAAGTGAAGGTGTAGGGCAGTTTTGTTATCATTGCCCACTGAGGGAGACATGGAGTGCCACTAGGTCTATGAAAATATGAGGCATCATATACCCAGTCTGCCTAAGGATGTGAAAAAGGATCTTTTATATTTCCTCCCATGATCATCCACAGCTTTGGGTTGCAGTTCAAATAAGTAGTTGTTTGGACTGTCTGCTGTCATCTGTCCATTGCCCATTCTTTCTTCTTCTTCTTCTTCTTCTTGTTCACTGGCTGTGAATTCCGGCGGTAAGTCACGGTTGTTCGTCCAAAATGGACTTTTGGCTTTTACCTTGACCTGAGTTTTGCGTGTACATCCGTTTTACTGGCTTATTTGTTTGCAGTACTCGTTCCCCGCCTCTCAGGCAGATGTACTCCGACTTCGGAGGAAGACGTCAAGCCTATTTCTAGGTTGACTGTGGCCATTGTTTTGTGTGGGTCGAGATGTTGCCTTATTTGTGTGGTGTCCTCTTTGACTTTTAACAAGTGTGGCCCCCGGCATGTCGTCCTTAAGGCAGCTCTATGTAGAGTTTTCAGCCCTCAAGGGAAGGCAGGGGCAGATCATGGGCATTCCCCGCCATCCAAGGAGGCTTCCATAAATGCAGAGCCGACACATGATGCTCTGGTTCTGGGCTCACCCAAGGAATCGTCACGTCCTGCCCATGACTGCTTAACCTCACAACCGTGTATTGAGCTTCCCGCGCTACAAGGCTGCGCTCTCCGGAGATCAGCGGGGAGCAGCCCGCAGGTCTAGGACGTTTGTGGCCACACAAATAGGTACATTCTTTTTCATCTTACGTTAGACACCTTTAACGTTGTTTCAGCTGTGCCCTTAGCACGACAGAATGGGGCAGCAAAATGCGTCAGGCGTGGCTTCACCTGTTTGGTCCCAACACTCGGGCGAGTTGGACCAGTGGATACGGACATTCAAACTTTTCCTAATCGGTACGAGTTATGATCGTCGGACTTTGAGCTTGCATGTGTGCCGTGGGGTGTAACTTTGTCGGACATTGTTTTCAAGCCAGCATATGAATAGTTGCTGCCATGGTGTACCTCAGCGCGGTGACGACGACACTGAGGATTGACAGAGGATGTACGTAGGTGGGATCTTGCTGCGAGAAGTCGCCCACAAGAGATGTTACTCGTCTTGGCTGCGGGTAAATCTCTCGGTCAGGGTTGAGTCTCAGCAGCACAGTTTTCCATTCGCTCCCGAATTTTAACCAAGAGTTGTCATTTGATGGTACAGTTAGCAAGCAGTCCTTGAGTTTTGTTACTTTTCACCCATGCGTTTGGGGGCGGGCTGGTGAGAGCCAGAAAGGACTCTACACCTCTGGGGGCCGCCAGCTCCGAGATCCCCTGCCAACTCTGTTAATGCTCATTTGAGACATTATCCGTGGCGCACGACGGGGACGTGCAACAGGAGTCTTGCATGACGTTCCGTAAAACCAGAACAGTGAAGGACTGGCGCCCGAGTGGGGTACGGAATATCTCCTTAAACACATCACATCAGACTTAACTTCCCCTCATGCCTGTGACCGAAATCACCACGCCACATTGCCCATTCAATGCCAATAGGTCTATGAAATTATGAGGTGCCATGTACCCAGTCTGCCTAAACAGCGTTGAAAAGTATCTGGATGAGAGTTAGATAGTGTAACGGTTGCCATTGACAGAATAAGCATTAGTAGCAGCTGTCTTCCTGAGAAATGAGTTAATGACTAAAAGAGAATAGGTTCAGAAAATAGCTGTCTAGGACTAAATGGTGGCTTTTTCTGCTGTCATATAGTTAGTTAGTTAGTCGTTACTGTTCCGGCATCACAACAAACGAGCTTGGCCCATAATTGCTCAACCACCTATGGATACTTCAAGTAAATGCCGTAGCCATACAAAGTGTCCTCAGTCAGCAAATCACTCACGATTTGATCTGGCTAACCATTTGGTGCATGTCTCCTTAAACACACTGCGAGACCAGGCGTCATCACTGAAAATCAACTTCATTCGACGAATAGCTGGGAGATGAGTAGATTAAAACTATTCCTGGCCAGAAAGGACTCTACACCTCTGGGGGCCGCCAGCTCCGAGATCCCCTGCCAACTCTGTTAATGCTCATTTGAGACATTATCCGTGGCGCACGACGGGGACGTGCTACAGGAGTCTTGCATGACGTTCCGTAAAACCAGAACAGTGAAGGACTGGCGCCCGAGTGGGGTACGGAATATCTCCTTAAACACATCACATCAGACTTAACTTCCCCTCATGCCTGTGACCGAAATCACCACGCCACATTGCCCATTCAATGCCAATAGGTCTATGAAATTATGAGGTGCCATGTACCCAGTCTGCCTAAACAGCGTTGAAAAGTATCTGGATGAGAGTTAGATAGTGTAACGGTTGCCATTGACAGAATAAGCATTAGTAGCAGCTGTCTTCCTGAGAAATGAGTTAATGACTAAAAGAGAATAGGTTCAGAAAATAGCTGTCTAGGACTAAATGGTGGCTTTTTCTGCTGTCATATAGTTAGTTAGTTAGTCGTTACTGTTCCGGCATCACAACAAACGAGCTTGGCCCATAATTGCTCAACCACATATGGATACTTCAAGTAAATGCCGTAGCCATACAAAGTGTCCTCAGTCAGCAAATCACACACGATTTGATCTGGCTAACCATTTGGTGCATGCCTCCTTAAACACACTGCGAGACCAGGCGTCATCACTGAAAATCAACTTCATTCGACGAATAGCTGGGAGATGAGTAGATTAAAACTATTCCTGACCATTCTCCACGTGTTTGCAGCCACGGCCAGCAAATAAATAGCAGCTATAGCACAGGCCTTGTCCCAGGAACACAAACCGGACTTCCACAATCTTGCAACATCAAAACTGGAGGAGAAATGGTGACGAGAACTGCCAACATAAGCCAAGTTCCCTGTCATATGTCATTGCCCATTCAATGCCAGGTGAAATTGTGGGGTGCTATGTACCCGGTTTGCCTAGACAGTGTTGAAAAGGATCTTTTACTTTTCCTCTCATAGTCACCCATAGCTTAGGGAACAGTTCAAATGTGTAATTGTTTGGACTGTTATCTGTCTGCTTTGCATATGCTGATAATTCCTTCTATTTTCCAGAAATCTGTGCACTGTGCCTTGTTGTCCTGTGGAAGTCTTCTCAATGTTGTGGAAGCTGTATTGAGGGGAAAGGTAAGACATGCGTGCACATCTGTCATTTTCTTGGTCTTGGCAGGGTAATATTTTCTGTGCAGTTACATAATCAAATACAAAATGAAACAGAAAGGAATGTTGAGGTGCTGCACTAGATCTCCAGATATTTTGATTTATTTTGTATTGCTATATCTTGCAGTAAATATCTTTTTTACTTAGTAGTTAAAGAAGTTTTATTCTATAAAAAGTGTGTTTGTGTTTTATTGGACGTGTGGTTTCTGAGGTGGATGTTTGCGAATATCTTGTACTGCTAGAGTTATTAACAGTGATTCCCTGGAAGTGGTTGATGGAATTTAAAGGGAAAAAAATCAGGTCTTTATGAAGACTTGCCTGATGATGTAAGAATAAGGAATGTGATCACAAGAAGAAGAAACAGAAGAAGATGAGTAATGAAATAATAGCTACATTAGATTGTTGGCTTTACGTTTAGTTTATTGTGTCCACACTATATTCAATTTGTTCATGCCTAAGAAGAATGCTTGGCAGTAAGTGGCAACACAAAAATCACAAACACTGAGGTACTGGAAGGTTCAGGTGGCTTTGTCACCCTTGGAGAACGGGAATGGTCGAATCCCTAAGGACATCCTCTACTGTGAAATACAGATGGATAGATGTCCACGTTGTCCTCAACTACGATATAAAAATGCATGCAAGCGGGAAATGAATGATACTGGTATCAAGGTAGATTTGTGAGAAGAAAATGCCAAAGGTCAAGTTTTGCAGGGAGGGATAAAATCAAGAAGGGAGTTGGAATAAAGGTCTATCTTGCTAACACGCTTTCTGCATGGGCTGTCAATCCCATGTCTCCCTATAGCACGATATAACACTGTTGTCTGGAGCAGGCTGGTTGTACAGACAGTGGTTTGAGTCATTGCAAAACTCTCCTGTGTGTACAGTTACCTTTATATTCATCCCAGGGCATGCAGGTAATGTTGTTGGTAATGAAAGAGCTGATAGACTGGCCGGTGCAGCATTAATTGAAGATGGCCGGCACATGGATAGCGCTTAAAGAAATAGGATGTTCTGAAGATTTTGGAAGCAACATGTTCACATCACTGCTAAGAATAAGAGAATTGGGAGTAAAGATCGGCACAGCCAAGCATGAGAATCACACTGGACATACATGAAGTCTTGTTAACCAAAATAGGACTGGCACTATTAACTGTGTGGCGCTGATAAATATGTTGAAAGGGGAATCTGATCACCCATGGATGTGTCTGGAGTGCTGTGAAGATAATCTAACTCATAACTCATAACTGTTGTCTGGAAAGACAGAAAGATGCCAGTAATATTTGTACATTACTATTGTTTTTATTTTCTATGTTTCCTATGAGTGATAGGTTTTACTGTTAGAGGAAGACTGTAATGAAGATTATGTTTCTCAAATTTTCTCTGATGTTTTCTGTGAATGATACGTTTAGTTGTTAGAGGAAGACTGTAATGAAGGTTATATTTCTCAGATTTTCTCTGATGTTTTCTGTGAATGATAGGTTTAGTTGTTAGAGGAAGACTGTAATGAAGGTTATATTTCTCAGATTTTCTCTGATGTTTTCTGTGAATGATACGTTTAGTTGTTAGAGGAAGACTGTAATGAAGGTTATATTTCTCAGATTTTCTGTTATGTTTCCTATGAGTGATCGGTTTAATTGTTAGTGGAAGACTAATGAAGATTATGTTTCTCTGATTACAGTCCCAGAGTGGTGTTGCCATTGTCAGGTGAGAGTTTTACTTACTAGTGTGTGAGTTTTGTGTCATAATTGATCAGTTCTGTTAGTGATTCTAAACATTTATCTTATCTATACAAGTATTATCATCTGCATCACAATTTTGAAAATGTGTTTATGGAAACACTAGCAGTTTTCTCAAATTAATTTGCAAAATTATACTGGAACACAAGTAAAGTTTTCCTAATTTGAATTTGAAATGTTTGAAATATATAGTTATGTTAAAGCATTCAATGATAATCATAACACGAGGTATTAAAAAGTAAAGCATTTAATAGAAATCATAACACATGGCATTTAAAAGTAAAGCATTCAATAGAAATCATAACACGAGGTATTAAAAAGTAAAGCATTCAATAGAAATCATAACACAAGGTATTAAAAAGTAAAGCATTCAATAGAAGTCATAACACAAGGTATTAAAAAGTAAAGCATTTAATAGAAATCATAACACAAGGCATTTAAAAGTAAAGCATTCAATAGAAATCATAATACAAAGTATTAAAAAGTAAAGCATTCACTGGAAATCATAACACAAGGCCTTCAAAAACCCCACCAAAATATAATGGGTGACGTGGCCCATGACTGAGGCTTAAGTGGAAAATTTAACATTAACTCGGCTATCAGAAAGCCATTAGGCTCATAATGAAACCCCCAAATTCTATAATTAGTTAGTGTATTAATGTCCTGGTCTTTTAAACACAGCACAGGTGCCCATAGGACCTGTGGAATTTAACTCCGCTTTCTAAGAACATGTCAATGCAGACGTGGCTGTGTATGGGCATTTATTGGACTGTGTAACTGCGTGACAGGGTTAAATTAAATTTAAAAGTTTTTTTAAAACCACATATTATTTGAATTGTGTTGTGACTTTCTTATATTGATCTTTGATTTCTATATTACTAAGACCCCCAGGTCACCATGCTGAGTCCAAGAAAGCGATGGGCTTCTGTTTCTTTAACAATGTCGCTGTGGCAGCCAGGTTTGCTCAGGTTCACTTCGGTCTCAAGAGGTTTGTATTCTTCGTAAAATCTAAAGACATTCTGAATACTGCATGTGAATGAATGGTAATGAATACTGCATGTGAATGACTGATAGTGGATGATACAATGTTAGAGAGAACAGCTTGCGTAAAGTTGTGTGGATATGGAGTTCCTTGTGGATCTGTGGACCTTGTGAATTCCAACAGAAGGTGGAGAAAGACATTTCTAATGGGCTCTGGTACACATTAAACCTGACATCCCATATTGTGCTAACGGCTTTGTCAGAGGAGCGCACTGGGGAGGATTCTAGCCTTATCCTAGGAAGAGGAAATGCAACCTGAAAACTTTATGTTATGGCAAGGCAGACAAGGCCCTTCATCTTGGCCAGCAGCTGGTCTAGGAGGAAAGCTCTGACATGCGGACAGATAGAGCGCTGCTCTTCTGATCCGGCAGCTTCTGCAGCCTGCTTTGTTGCAAACGTACTGATGTTGTAATTTCCTTTGGAGTAAACAAGGCAGGTTGAGGGAGGGATCATGATGAATGGGCAACATATTGTCTCTACAAAACTGTCCCGGCTTTGTGCTGTGGAGAGGAGGAACTTGGTGAATTAAAGATGGGTATAAGATGTCAAGGCCGACCTCTAATATGATATAAAGATGTGTACAAATGGGATATGAATGATACAGGCATTGAGGCGGACTAGTGGAAACAAAATGCCATGGACCGTGTTGTGTGGAGGGGGCTCAACTGGAAGGGAATAAGAATGAATAAAGAAATGATTGCAGAAAGGATGAGAGCTGAGTGTCTCAGAAGAAACACACTCAATACCAATGTTGACAACAACAGTCCTTAAATCCCGTGCGAATATTGTGGAGGACTGTTCTTAACCTGGGTGGGTCTTGCTAGTCATGCTCGCCATCGCCATGGGCTGTGAGTCCCATGCCTCATCATAGCACATTATAACATTGTCGTCTGAAATACGGAAAGGTGCCAGTGGTGAATCTGGTAAGAAAGAAGATATGGGAGGAAGATAACAATGTATACAGTGTTGCTGAAGTGATAATCATCTCTAAAGTTAGTTGCATATCCTTGACAGGGCGTTGCACAACCAGCCTCCAAATGTTTTCACTGCTGCTTCTGAAATTATCTGATGTCTGTTTCTGTGAGGCTGGATCGATTCTGAAGCTATAGTGGTTGGAAAAAATCCTGACACACCTAGAGATTGAACCTAAATCATCCCATGGGGTTTCCAGGGCCCCATTTTTTGGAGAGAAAAAAAAAGAATCGACCCACTACCCCCCGTAACAAGCTCAACACTCAAGGGAAGGGCAAGATGGATGTACAATCAGAGAGTTACCGGTACCATCGGAATTATAACTCTTCATTTGCTGCTAAAGAAGAGGGACGGGGCGCTTATGTGAGTGTCCCGAGTGCTGTAAAGTCTATTCTTAATTCAACAATCAACATCAACATTTAACAGTACCAATCATGTGCTTGTTGGCAAGACTTCTCATATGTTTATCGGTTTTTGTTTGGTTCCTGTAGGATTCTCATTGTAGACTGGGATGTACATCATGGCAATGCCACACAGCACCAGTTCTATACTGACCCAAGGTAAGCAGTTGTTACTGTTTTACGTGTACTTTGTGGCAAAGTATTTAATATAAAGCTTGTTGGCACAGTGGTCTGAAGTTAATTCCTCAGTAATAATTTTTTTTTTACTTGGACATATTTGTAATTTTTCATGATCAGGACATGCAGGGTTTTTCTCCAACCTGGACAGCAGTGGATTGTTCCCAACTGGGACTAATCTCATGGTTTTCCTAATCAGGACAGCTGTGAAATGTTCTTAGCTGAGACATATCTCAGGGTTTTCCTAATCAGAACAGCTCAGAATTTTTTCCAGTCTGGGACATATCTTAGGGTTTTCCCAAACAGGACAGCTCTGAATTATTCCCAACTGGGACTTTCTCAGGGTTTTCCCAATCAGAACAGCTCAGAATTTTTCCAATCTGGGACATATCTTAGGGTTTTCCCAATCAGGACAGCTCTGAATTGTTTCCAACTGGGACATATCTCATGGTTTTCCCAATCAGGACACCTCAGAAATTTTCCTGAGACATATCTCAGGGTTTTTCCTATCATCACATCTCAGAATTGTTCCCAACTGGGACACATCTCGGGGTTTTCTCAGTCAGGACATCTCAGAAATTTTCACAATCTGGGACATATCTCAGGACAAATCTGAGGTGTTGCAAGCAAGAACATGCATCCATGTTAATCAATTTACACAAACTGGGTTGAATGTGGGTTTGTAACATAAACTAGGAAGAAGGTGCATCTATTTACATAGAGTATGGAGAAGGAAAGAGAGTGCTAAAATGTCACTTAGTACCTATTCTGCTGTATGGCAGCAAATCTTGGAATGTCAGTGAACAAATGAAGAATTTTGAAGCAACAGAGATGTGGTTTCTGAGACGCTTGTTACGAATACCTTGGTCAGCCAGCGTAGCTAACAATAATTGTTTGAAAGAAGGGAATGAAATTAGATCTCTATATACAACAATAAAAAGAGGCAAACAGTATTCTTTGGCCATGTAACGAGAAGAGAGGCGTTGGAAAACATTGTGAAAACTGGAAAGATCAGTTGAAAAAAAACTTGGGAGAATGTTAAACAATTTACACAAACTGGGTTGAATGTGTGTTTGTTACACAAATAAGGAGAATGTTAATCAATTTACACAAACAGGGTTGATTGTGGGTTTATTACATAATCTAGGGAGAATGTGCATCTATTTACATAGACTATGGAGAATGTACATTTATTTACGCAAGCTAGGAAGAATGTTAATCAGTTTACACAGACTGGGTTGAATGCAGGTTTGTAACATAAACTACAGAGAATATGCTACACAGAGTAATAGAAGTGTGCATTATTACATCCACTATTTTTTTTTGAATATGACACTCTGATTTGTTTCAGTGTCCTCTACATCTCCCTGCATCGTTACGACAATGGCAACTTTTTCCCCGGCAGTTCGGATGCAGATTTCAAGTGTGTTGGTTCAGGAGCAGGAGAAGGGTCCAATGTCAACATCCCATGGAGTAATGTATGTCTTCAAATAGAAATCCACTCTGTTATTTCTTCTTAAACATAACATTTTTTTTTGGTTTTTCTTAAAGTGCTGAGAATTCCGGAGCAAATGTTTTTGAATCAGTCATTTTGGGGAAAAAAAGTATTAAACCATGTTCAGTCCACTGAGGACAATTTTCATTATTGCCGTGATCTTTCTTTTTGGTGCCAAGTTGAATGGCCTAGTTTCTCTGGTAGTGGTTCCTATTATCGGTTTTTGTGTAGGTTATAGTTGGGCACTTATGATGGTCTTGATTTCTTTCTGCTTTGTTTAATGGCTTTGTTTCCCCATTGAGGATCATATGTATACATTTGCAGAGTTGTCACATAAGGTACATGTAGTCTCCTCGCCATTGGGGTGTGACGCCTTCTTTGCATTCACTGGCTGTAAACTCACTGACATAAATATTTTGTTGTTCGTTCAGTATGGAACTTTAGTCTTTTCCATAACTTGAGTTTTGTGTACACATTTGTTTTACAGATCTGGCTTTTGTTTTCATGCAGGCTGTTGGCTCTTTACCTGTCAGGCAGATTACCTCCGACTTCGAACGAGGCACCCCTAATTAGTGGCCTTTTACAGCATGCTTGTTAGGGTTTGCAGTGGGTCTGATATTTTTTGCTACAAAAGAGGGCTCTGGAACCACATGGGAAAGAAATGTAAAGTGTTAGGTCTTCAAATGTTCGAGGCCATGATATATTGGAGAAAACAAAATTGGTGGGGGTACTTTCCTCAAAATCTTTCCTTTTTAAGCCATTCCCTGAAAATCTTTAGAATTTTTAGTAGCTCCATGATGACCTCCGAGGATCATATGAGATGCGATGACCAGTTACCTTCCTCATAATCTTTCCTTCCCAGAAAATTCTGGAAATCGCCTGACATCCATAGATTCAACAGTGACCACCCAGAATCTCTGTTAAAAAAAAATTAAAAATTAAATCCGTGAAATAAATGATGCAGTCTAAAATAACCCACAACCTTCAGAGTGCAATACAAATGACTTGACCTAATCACTTTATCAAGGTGTCCCACGTCACTGAGTGTTAACGTAAATGTTTGCACTACTAAGAGCCCTCATGTGCTGGGGATTTAGTCTGTATCATTTAGTTGGAAAGTTGGGAAGCTGCCACCACAGCTTATCACAGACTGAATAAAAGAAGTATAAAATTATATAATTTTGTCAAAAAGCGTTCATTTGCTCTGAGATAGTTTACATTCTGACTGTGGCTTACTTATGTGGGTTACTCATGTGTATCACTTGACTGGATTATCTAAGAGAACCTTAGCCTCACCTCACCTCACCCCACCCCCTCTCCCCAGTCAATTTTAATATAAGCCTATTTAGTGTATCCTTTATGCCTAGGGGAACATAACCCCTGAACCAGCTCGCCCTAAGACACCCTATCTTTGTACATGCAGGGGTAGGCAAAGACAAGATACCTGATCTCTATGGCACCTGATAATTTTCAACTGGTGCATGAATTTTCATTTTAAAAAACGTATTTGCAACAACAACAAAAAATGTGGTGGGACCTGGGTACTGAATTATTTTTGGGTTTTGTCTACCCCTGTTACTTCACATACAGATCATTATTATCCATTACTGAAGTACTTTCATGTTGGATTTGACTGTTAGTTTATGACTTCACCACAGGCCCGAATGGGAGATGCAGAGTATATTGCTGCCTTCACTCAGATCATCATGCCTATTGCATATGAGGTAGGCTATCATTCCGACTACCCTGTCATCACTCTATGTGTATTTTATAGTTATCATATCATTAGCATCATTTATGTTAGCATTCAGACTACCCCCATCTTCACTCTAGCCTTTAGCAACATGCAAAAAGTTCTCACCAATAAGAAGTCACTTGCAGTAAGAAAAAAAAGTGTTAAAGTGCTATCTAGAACCTGTGTTGTTTTATGCATGTAAAATCTGGACATTGTTCATTTTAAGATCACACATCGGACATGACCATAAGTGCATCAGTCTCCTCCTGAGTCTATTTCCAAGTGTTTTTAGGCTCACAACTCCCATTGTTTTTCATGGTTTTCCTGTCTCACAGCTCCAATTGGCACACCCAGGATATGCAGTCTCTTCAGTAAAAAATCATTTTCCACAAAACTGAAAGCCTCAGAGCATTTAGTCTGACGTATGGCATTGATGATATCTCTCCTGTCCAAAGATGACCCATTCATGATAGTCGCACTGCCAGCCAGGGCGTCTGCTCTCTCATTACCTTTCATACTGCATGCCGTGGGACAAAAATGTTGATTTTGTTGTTTCCGTATATACCCCACCGTGATCTTCTGTTGTAGCATGCTCATTGAGTATCTGAGAAAGCATGCATTGGAGAATTCCAGAGTTTTCAACCATTCTAAGGCCTTTGTCACAGCAAAGACCTCTATTGTCATGCTGCTGGTGGTAGAAGCAAAGGCTCCACTGTCGACCTTGATGACTTTTCCTTTAGTTCTTGTCCTCAAAGCCCATGCACTTCGCTTCTGACGAATCACAGAACCATCTGCATATATTACAGCAACATCTGGTCTGGTGATGTATGTTCCTCCACCAATGCTTTCACTTCTGCATTAGCTGTTGGTGGGGCCAAATCACGAAACTGTCTTGTCAGGGTGAGAACCACCACAAAGTACTGCTTGTTTGGTATGGGTATCCATTGCTCCCCATGGTTTATGTCTTGAAGGGAAATCACCTGTTGAAGTATTGTCTCTGCACGGCCCAACTAACACTGGCCTCATTTAAGTGTGTTGCCTTTACGTGCGACACATGCACAATCAGCAGACAAGCTAAATAAAGTACTCCCTGCTGTTATGGTTTCTCAGAAGAATGCAAAGAATATCATGAAAGGATAGACAAACAAAGGAAGCAGTCCTCATCGAGACAGATGAAAGTTGTAAAGTTATGAGATGTAGACAGTCAGTATTTAAACAAATATATTATGAGAAGGATTGGATTTGAGAACTTGGTGACACCTGGCAATATTGATGCAGAGAGGAAGGCAAAGAGATGAACACCTGGATGGCCTGGTATTGGCCAGATGGATGGGGCGAGACAAAAACATTGAACTGATCCGTGGTTCTGGTGATTGTGTGAGTTGACGAAACATGACAGACTACACTTACCGGCATGGCACATATATTATGATGATTTATACTATGTTTCTTTTTTTGCCATCACGTCATTGTTTTCATGAGTGTTAACAACTAGCCTAAACCATTTTTCTATGTGTCTCTTTTACATCATGATACACTGTCATTAGGTATCTTAACAGTTAGGCAACCCCATCATGACTGTGGGTTATTGTTTTACATTTTCAGACCATTGTCCTCATCCCTGATATAATCAGTTTAATTTAGTTTTCTGTCACCCTTTGGGAGCAGATAGACTGGCCAGTTCTGCTCCACTTTGTGGTGAATTTACGTATGACAAGCTAGATGTTGTGAGGGTGCTTTGGAAGGGAGTTAACAGTGTGGGGCACAAATAGATCATTACAGTATAAGCAGAATGGCGCTGCAGGGAGTTGCCAGGGGATCTGGATGACGCTTAACACTCAAGGGAAGGGGGAGACTATGATACAACCAGACATTTATTGGTACTGGAATGGGAACTCTTTGCTTGTTGCTGTAAATGGGGATGAAGCGTTTATGGGGGTGTCTTGAGTGATGTGATGTCAATTCCTAATTTGGCATTCAACATTCATCCTTTGAAAGCAAGTTAACAGTGCGGGGCACAAATATATCATTATGATGGCCTGGAAAGAATACTACAGCTTGGAGTGACAAGGTGATCTGGCTGACACTGTACACTCAGAGGAAAGGCAGAAGGACATATAATCAAACTACCACTAGCACCACTGGAATTGGAACTCATTTGCTGGCTGCTGTAGTTGAGGACACAGTGCTTATGATTATGTCCCAAGTGCTGTGATATCAGTTCTTAGCTCAACACTCAGCTTAGTTTCCTATTCAGGACAGCTAATTGTTCCGTCTCTGAAAGTTATTTTTGTAATTGTATTATTATACCTACCTGCTACATTTCACTTGTAGAAATACAAGAAAGGATTAATAACAATTCTTGCTGGGTGATGTGGTTATCTATACAGATGATTGTGTTGAGAGGCAGAGGAAGCACCAAGGGATTTATTGTAAATACACGTGACTGACATTTAGTTTTAAAAAAACAACAACAATACATCAGACATTTTGAATTTTTTTCTTCAAGTCTTGCTGGTTTGTTGGAAAATGAATAGGCAGACATATTAGGTGATTGATGGCAAAGTGAGAATTGTGACCCAATATGGATGGCGAAACATGGCAGAATGTTCAGGTTTGAAGTTATTTTTGCTTCTGACAGCACTTTCCTAATGCAGTTTCACTGTTTTGGCTACTGAGTTAAGTGCTTGGTGCGACACTATTAGCTATGTTTTTCACATGGAATGCCCTTTCTTTGTTCTGCGGTGGAGTTGTTCTATTCAGTATGGCCGGTTGTCTGTTTATTCAGTTGTTCTATTCAGTATTGGCGGTTTTAGAAAGGTCGGTAGATTTTTATTACATGTCCATCACGTTACATTTTTCATCCCTAATTTTCTAAAATTTTGTTTCATTATAAAACTGGTTTTTGTTTTTGTGTATTCCTAGTTTGCTCCAGAACTTGTGCTGGTTAGTGCAGGATTTGACTGCGCTGTAGGAGACCCTCTGGTGAGTTGTGCATATAAGTTAAGCCTAGTTAAAACATAAATCTTTGTCTTCTCTTTTCCTAAATGTTGTAGGCTTTTGGTGAAGCGGATTCTCTTTATTTCTGGGGCTCCATTTTGTGGGTTTAAAAAAAAAATCTTGCTGCCTTTAACAAGTGTGTCATAAAAGGCAACTAGTTAACTCTTTCAGTCCCAGAAGATCACTGCTGATGCTGTATTGTAAGTAAGGATGACAACAAAAGCATGGGTATACTGCATCCACATACATCCAAATGCACAGCACTTTGTGGGTTGCTTGTGTTGCTGGATCGATTTAGTTTTCCTGACTAAACTTAAGATGTTCAGATATACAAAAGATGTTGACTTGTGCACATGAGCAACATCCAGAACCCATGTTGCATTGTTTGGATCTGAGAGAATTAAGGATTTGCAGACCTTGGCTCTGTTTGGGCCAGAAGGTGCAGCTGTTGCACAACACAACATGCCAGCCCCTCTTTTAAGGATGAATTTAGAAGAAGAAAGAGTGAAGCAGATCAGTTTAAATTGTGGCATAGTTTCTAATGCTGCTGTTGATGTGTTGCTGTGAGCTGTTTACACAGGGAGAAAATGATTTATCTAATGCAGAGTTTGCTTACAAAACTTGCTGCAGGATGTTTACCTTCAGGTTTATTTAGATCACATTAGGCTGTGTAAAGGTTAGAGGTACAAGCATACTGAATCACTGTTTTTATTTCTTATGACAATAAAAGAACTAAATTAATGTTTTAACTGACTGTATGTTTATGTATGCAGCAAGTCTAAAATTATGTGTATATGTCAACAAGTTATGTTTCCCGTATGAGTACAGGGGCCCCATCTAAAGGGCAGAAACAAGAATAAGCATACCATGTTGTAAAAGGTGTCCAATTAGGGTTTGCTGTCAATGACAAACATCTTTATAATCATATACTGTGCTCATAAGTTTGGGTGTCTAACACAGTCTGTATTCTCGTCCTGACTATGCCATGTGTCTAAGCTTCCCATATATGTTGATCTTTTCCCATCAATGCTTTTTCTTTTCCTAACATGCCCAAACAGAAACTTTACTATATCTTTTTTTTTTGCTCATCAGTTTATATATTGTTTCATCAACTTCCTTAAGGACTACCTTATTTATTTTTGAGCCTGTCCATCTCGTTCAGTTTTCCTCAGAAACTCATTTTCTGCTGCCATTAGTTATGATTTAGTTATATTCTCAACCTATTGTCCATGTTTCTCAATGCAGTGATCTTCATTGTAATTAATTGCTGGCTCGAATGAGTCACCGCATCTTTCCATTCACCAACTGACAAGAACGAGAAAACATGGACGCTGGCAGACGTTCAGAAGTTACACGTACTGTTTATTTTCACTCGCTGATGTTGCAGTCAGTAAATGTTTTTACACGACAATATCACTCATCAATGCTCTAAACAGTCAATCATACCTTTGTAACATCGTAGACTTCACATAACTCAAAGAAACACAGTAGCTCCCTCCATCCAGACGACAGTCATTCACAGCTGGCCACCGTTTCCGTCAGCCGCTATTTTATGCCAGGTAGGCATTGGGAAATCAGACTATTCAGACGTCAACATTCTTCCGAACTTTTTCACACGTACACCTTTCCCTTGGCCTAAACGAGACTGCCTCACAAACCTTTTCTTCGCTATTATATAGCCCTCTGATCTGTCCTGTTCTCGAATATTCTGGATAATTTCATTCTCACGAATTCCACCGTTGAAAGTCGTGTCTGGCCCGTGATAATTCGCATTTCACACGAATCCTGCCAGTCAACCTTCATGGTTCACGTGAACAATCATGTTTCACATAAAACCTGACTTTCAGATGTCTCTCATGAAACTCAAGATATAAATCTCGTGTTATCTCAGTCAGTCAAAACATTCGCCTTACATTTATTACTGACGTCATCTATCGGGCATAACTTAATGGGGAGAAAATGACTCACTACACTCAAGCATACACCAGTGTGGTTTCTATGTAGCACTTTTTATCACTGTAATTTCCAGTGTGTGGGTAGGTTTTTAATGTTACAAAAAGGCTGAATAAAATGCTCTCTCTCTCTCTCTCTCTCTCTCTCTATATATATATATATATATATATATATATATATATATATATATATATATATATATATATATATATATATATATATATATATATATATATATATATATATTTAAAAAAGGTAAAAAAAATTTCATTTAAAAAAAAAAAAAACACAACAGTAATGCAAAAGAGCAGCCACAAAGTAACCTTTGGCATGGGGGAGGGCTAAAGGGGCTTAAGCCTTGTTTACTTACACAATGATAATAATTATGTTCTCTCCACCCACCCCTGAACCTCTTGTCAAGTTAGAATTTAAAATACTGAATACTTGATTATACTTTAGAAGAGTTAACAAAAGAGAAATATTGTTAACATGAATTGTTTTTAAATAATACAACCATTCTGATTGTTTCTGCCAGGGAGGCTATGCTGTAACTCCAAATTGCTTTGGTCACATGACACACATGCTGATGGGACTGGCCAATGGAAAAGTAGTTTTGTCATTGGAGGTACATTTTTTCTTTAAGTCCTTTCCATTCAGCATCAGTAATAATCTCTGTCCTCATTTTGTGTATGTCACTTAGTTTTTTTCTTTTATTCACATGTTCTTCCATGCTGTGATGCCAGATTTCCATATTTTCTTTTAATATTTATCCTCCTCTCTTCCCTTCCTACATTCCTGTTGTCATAAGTACTGGTTTTCTTTATTTTAATTTTATTTAACCTGCCTACAGAATGTGAATTGTCCTTCTGATGTTGGTAATTCTCTTCTTCTTTGGCATTCTGAGCCTTTGATGTTTATTGCTGCAGGTATCACCCGCCTCCATTCTTTTCTTTGTTTGGCCCTGTCTTCTAGTTGGTGACTTCAAGTGTTTGTAACATCTGCCTGGATGTTATCTCTCCACACTCTTCGTGGTCTGCCTCATGGTCTACAACCACTAAACTTCCCCTTTGTACTTAGTTTTTTGCATTTCTGCTGTTATCTGTGTTCGTGTACATGCTTGTTGTCAAGGGAAGGTTGTTTCTCTTCAGAGAATCATTGATTGCAGATTCAGATTCAAGTTTTATTTGCCACATCAGTTTTAGGCCATTCAGTTTTTCAATTTCTTCCTCCTCCATTCTTTATTTGTGACCTCCGCCAGAATTTATTTTGGTGAAATAGTTTGTGGACATGTATGCAGAATGGGAGAAAATCGGCCACCATGGCAGGCATGGGAGACTAGGAACCAGGGAACCAGTCCTCCACGGCGATCTAGGGTCAGCCTGAAAGACAAAATCTGACAGTCAGGATTGGGAACAAAGCCAGAAAGAAAACTGCAGATAGAGATGTCTGGTGATCTCTCTGGCAAACCTCAATACCTCAAGGTAGAAGAGGAGCAACTAAGTAAGTAGAAAAGAAGATAGTGTGGTCAGCAGGCAGTAATCCAGTGTTCAGACAGAAATTAATTATTTTTGTGTGTGGGAATAAAAATAGTTGTGCTTATTTGAGAACATACCAAGAGGAAGAATCACAACATGAGTTTTCCATGTCTTCTTTTTCTATCTCTTCTGCCCGTTATCCCTCTGTGGAGCATAATCACACACCCAGTACACGCCAAGTCATTCCATCTTTCGCTGTCCTATTTAGCTCACCCATATCTTCCCCATCTCTTTAACATCAGATCTGTAATTCCATTTTTTGGACTGCCTTTATTTCTATGACCCTGTGGATTTTTCTTGTGTGTTCATTCAGTATTCTGTTGTGCATAGAATTCAGTCTAATCTCTGCATTAAAAAAAAAAATATGTGCGGAATCTAATTATCTATGGCTTTTCTCAAGTTAAATCATAAAGCTTCTCTTGGATGCCCTTGATTCCTTGTTCCTTTGTTGCTAATTTCCGTCCCTGATTTATAAATATAGTTCTGTATCTGCTTTTTCTCAGAATAGACTCAATATCTCCATCTTGCTTTTACTTGTTAATACCAGCGGTTGTCAATAAAATGTCTCTGAATGATTTATCCTTTTTTGAGTTCACTTAATTTAATGTTAAATTTCACTTCATTTTATGATCATCATTTGCACGTGTGTAGTAGAACTTCCAAAATATCTGAGCATTTTAACATATTCAGTGACTGAGTGATGTAGACATGCTTGAATGAGATTTCATTTTGCTGTTCCAGGGAGGCTACAACTTGAACTCACTGTCTTACTCCATGTCCACATGTATGGCGACACTGCTTGGATACCCTTGTCCCATGCTGGGAAATCTGATCCCCAATGAGAGGTAGGAATGTTATTTGTTGTTGTTCATTTAATCTCTGTGCAGTTGAATTTATGTGTGTTTTTGTCTCTTATTCTGTGTTTATCTCTTTACATTCATATGTGCAAGCATCTGTGTAAAGGCATGTGTGCCTGCATGAATGAATCAAAAATTGACATCACTTCCCTCGGGACATTCCCACACATAATAATACCAGTTGCAGTCTGACTGAAAGTCTGCCTATGTTTCCACCTCAGAATTAAATATCTTCCAAAGCCTCTAACTCCCCCCTTTCGCACTTGAAATAATCTTTCACCTATGGATTTTTTTTCATGTGTGCATAAATGCATTCAAGCGAGTGTGAGAAAAATGTGAATTTTTTGTTTTGTTTTTAAATATTTAACAAATTAGGAATTATTGTAATAATATCTATACAAAAAGTATATTTCATTTGTTGACATATGGTGCTAAATTTTAGAGCTTTTTGAGATTCCTAATATACCTGTATGTGTATGTTTGTGTCTTTGGGATGGCGTGTTCTTCTTCTTTATTTCCTCTTTTACCACTTTGGGTGTCAAGTGAGATATCAGCATCTGTTTCTTGCTCCTCTTGCCATCACGACTATAGACACATTGCAGAATTTTGTTGGATGGCAAGCAGTGCTCAATCTGTATGTACCTTTTTAAATTGTAAAGAGAAAAAAATTTGTTTAAAAAAAATCTGATCTTGATTTCTCGCTTGGAAATAAATCAAGCAGAGGTTTTCTCGGGTGTAGGGATCTTCATGGGGATCTTTGAATGTTTTTACTCACAGAGAGTGCCACTTTACTTCCCAGGACTGTTCCCTGGAGTGGGTTAGTTTGGGTATTGTCCATTATATATATTTGGGCATGAAATGATAAAACAGCTTGTTCACCTGTGTAATTTCAAATTTTACCTAATGCTTGACTCTTTGTGTACTAAGAAACTCACTGTGCATTCATTAGTTAATTCAAAGACATCACATATCTCTGTCTTCTTTCATTGATGGTTTTTACAACAAATCATTGTAATTCAGATTTTCATGTCTAGTTGCTTCTGTCCTACAGTGTTGTCATTTTATGAAAAGTCAATAAGTAAGTTCCAAATGGTTGTTTAAAAAAAAAAAAAAAAAAACTAAAGGTGATAACAACTTATTTTACACATAATTTGCCTCCATCTGCTGCACGGATCTTTCTGTTGCAATCTCAGCAGGAAGATCGAATCACACTTCATTAACAATTTTAGTGTGTCCTTGAGAAAATATTTTTTTTTAACCCAGCTGTGCAAGGTTTTAAAGGATTAAAATAGGAATAGGGATAAACAGGAAGCATTTCCTTATAAATGCCTTTTGCAGGCAGCCCTTTTGCAAAAAAAAAAAAAAGCTTAACAGCCTGTTTTTTTTTTTAGGGTACACTACATGAGTACAGTTGCCATCTTGTTTCTCTGTTGCGAATGCACATGCAACACCTAGCGCCACCTAATGAACAGAGACATAGAGTTTGATGTTGCTGTCACCTAATGACTCCTTTAGAAACCACCAACTTTATTTTCCTGTCATCCCATATCTATTTGTGACATTGAATTCCCCTCAAAATTCCCTTACACCAAGCTACTGCTTACATTAAAGTAGACCTCTTCAGAATGAAAAGGCATAAAGTAGTTAGAAGCTGGTAACGAATGAGGAAACATCAAGGCCTAATTGGAGACCGTTTTAAGATTCTGAAGCTTTGAAGATGATGACATGAACATCATATGGATTCGTGAATGGTGTAATCACTTCAAGGACAGCTGCAAATTATTGGAGGATGGATTACATTCTTATAGGCTGTCAACATGTTGAAATATGGTCATGAACTATATTTAGAACATTCACTCCACCAGCATTGATTCAGTGCAGTATATCTCTTATGGAGGATTTGATCCTGCAGTGTCAGCAAACTTAATGCCATAACTTTGAATGATGGTGTGGAAGCAACACTGGTCATGAACTAAACACAGAACATTCATTCCACCAGCATTGATTCAGTGCAGTATATCTCTTATGGGGGATTTGATCCTGCAGAGTGTCAGCAAACTTAATGCCATAACTTTGAATGATGGTGCGGAAGCAACACTGGTCATGAAATAAACACAGAACATTCATTCCACCATTATTGATTCAGTGCAGTATATCTCTTAGGGAGGATTTGATCCTGCAGTGTCAGCAAACTTAATGCCATAACTTTGAATGATGGTGTAGAAGCAACACTGGTCATGAACTAAACACAGAACATTCATTCCACCTGCATTGATTCAGTGCAGTATATCTCTCATGGGGGATTTGATCCTGCAGAGTGTCAGCAAACTTAATGCCATAACTTTGAATGATGGTGTAGAAGCAACACTGGTTATGAACTAAACACAGAACATTCATTCCACCTGCATTGATTCAGTGCAGTATATCTCTCATGGGGGATTTGATCCTGCAGAGTGACCGCAAACTTAATGCCATAACTTTGAATGATGGTGCGGAAGCAACACTGTCTGGAAATCATGCAGGAATTGTTTGGCTGCAAAAGAGAGACCTGAATACTGGGGCACTAGTGATGAGCTGTGGGGTTAAGGGTTTGACCTGGAGACCAAAGTGTAATGTCTGTTGTGAGGACATTTATAATTTCCTGGGCCAACAAAAGGGAGCCGAAATGGCATAGCAGCTAGATGCTCGCCTGCTGAGCAGAAGATTAGGGGTTCAGGTCATGACAGAGCCAGAATATTTCAAAGATGACCTTCGCTGCCAGGTCGACCCAGCCTTGAGTGGGTACCAGGTACAAGTCCTGTAAAGTAAAGGCGGCAGGCTTGATGCTGACCACATCACCCACCAAGGGCTGATTGGTCCATAAAATATAGGTCTAGCCCTTTATGCCCAATATGCCTAGAGGTGTGGAAAAGGGTCCTTCGAGTTACTTAGACAGACAAAAGCAGTGCAGTTGCACAGAAATGTTAGATTCTTATTGAAAGTGTCCTTTGCCACTTGTGGGGTGGTACACTCTACAAGACCCAAACAGTACCAAATAACAGCATGGAGGTAATCTTATGTCCAGTTTTACCAACAAGACTCCTTATGTCCAGTTATACCAACAAGAGTCCTTATGTCCAGTTATACCAACAAGACTCCTTGTGTCCAGTTATACCAACAAGACTCCTTATGTCCAGATATACCAACAAGACTACTTATGTCCAGATATACCAACAAGACTCCTTATGTCCAGTTATACCAACAAGACTCCTTAGGTCCAGATATACCAACAAGACTCCTTATGTCCAGATATACCAACAAGACTCCTTATGTCCAGATATACCAACAATACTCCTTATGTCCAGATATACCAACAAGACTCCCTATGTCCAAATATACCAACAAGACTCCTTATGTCCAGATATACCAACAAGACTTCTTATGTCTAGATATACCAACAAGACTCCTTATGTCCAGTTATACCAACAAGACTCCTTATGTCCAGATATACCAACAAGACTCCTTATGTCCAGATATACCAACAAGACTCCTTATGTCCAGTTATACCAACAAGACTCCTTATGTCTAGATATACCAGCAAGACTCCTTATGTCCAGATATATTAACAAGACTCCTTATGTCTAGATATACCAACAAGACTCCTTATGTCCAGATATACCAACAAGACTCCTTATGTCTAGATATACCAACAAGACTCCTTATGTCCAGTTATACCAACAAGACTTCTCATGTCCAGTTATACCAACAAGACTCCTCATGTCCAGTTATACCAACAAGACTCCTTATGTCCAGTTATAGCAACAAGACTCCTTATGTCCAGTTATACCAACAAGACTCCTCATGTCCATTTATACCAACAAGACTCCTTATGTCCAGATTTACCAACAATACTCCTTATGTCCAGATATACCAACAAGACTCCTTATGTCTAGATATACCAACAAGACTCCTTATCTCCAGATTTACCAACAAGACTCCTTATGTCCGGTTATACCAACAAGACTCCTTATGTCCAGATTTACCAACAAGACTCCTTATGTCCAGATTTACCAACAAGACTCCTTATGACCAGTTATACCAACAAGACTCCTTATGTCCAGTTATACCAACAAGACTCCTTATGTCCAGTTATACCAAGACTCCTTATGTCCGGTTATACCAACAAGACTCCTTATGTCCAGATTTACCAACAATACTCCTTATGTCCAGTTATACCAACAAGACTCCTTGTGTCCAGATTTACCAACAAGACTCCTTATGTCCAGTTATACCAACAAGACTCCTTATGTCCAGTTATACCAACAAGACTCCTTATGTCCAGTTATACCAAGACTCCTTAGGTCCGGTTATACCAACAAGACTCCTTATGTTCAGGTATACCAAGACTCCTTATGTCCAGTTATACCAACAAGACTCCTTATGTCCAGTTATACCAAGACTCCTTATGTCCAGTTATACCAACAAGACTCCTTATGTCCAGATATACCAAGACTCCTTATGTCCAGGTATACCAAGACTCCTTATGTCCAGTTATACCTGTGTGACTTCTCTTTGCAGTTGTGCCAGCATGACTCCTTTCTTATGGGCAGTTGTGCCAGCATGACTCCTTTCTTATGGGCAGTTGTGCCAGCATGACTTCTTGAGTACATATGTACTAGTATGACTCCTCATGTCAGAAACATAAGTTATATTTTCCTAGTTCTCCCTAACTCTCTTCCCCCCATCCTGCCACCTTTCTGCCTCTGACTTTCTAACCAGCGCTCCCTATAGCAGCTATATTTTAGGGGGAAAAATTAAGAAAAAGGAGGGGGGGGGGGAGATAAGAAGGGATGCAAAATGCAAGCGATGCTTCTTCTCTTCTTCTGCCTTTCTATTCCCCAATGGAGCATAGGCCCTCAACCAACTACGCCAAGTCGTTCTATCCTTCGCCATTGCATGGAGCTCTCCCCATGTCCTCCCCATCTTTCTAACTAACTTCATTCTCCAGC